TGTTCACCAAGGCCCAGGAAACGGAGGACAAGATGCTCACCTCGATGGAGCGCCAGGCAGAAGTGTTCAAGCAGCAGATGGAGCGCCAGCAGCACCAGGATGAAGTGTGGGCGCTGCGCCATGAGGAAGCGTCGGCGCAGCGGCAGGATGAGCGACAAACTGCATTTAATAACAGTTTATTTGGTATAGTTTTTGTAAATACTGACACACGACACACAACGTTGCACTAAGGTGTGTATGCTGCTGAGAATATCCCTACACCTGGGACAGTTTATTTTATATTGTTATTACTGTTATGACTTTATTTTATATATAATGTTTACTGACATGTACAACTGACACTTTATTTACATTTAAAATTGTTCTATTTAATGTTATGTCTTGAGAGTGCAATAAAGAAAACCGACATGGCGATTAAGCTTATTTCTCCTGACACTTTATCTTTTGTGACCTGTGTAGCATCCTATACATCACATGTAAGTGATTATTCTGATACCATCATGTTTCATCGGTTATAAACTGGCAAAGCTTTATTTGTCATTTATTTATCATCAATGTTGCAACCTTGTGGGGGAATGGCAGGGGCACATACACAAATATGATAATTTATATAATTTTAAATATTATTTGACCTAAACTTTTAATTCCCCCCCATTTCACACAACACAACATGGAGTCCACTATGGGCCAAAACTAACATGTATGTTTGCATAGTGTTTATGGCAGACGGATGCAGTGGGTCTCAGGAAGATATATAATAAAGGTGGGTTTGCTGCTGAGACTATCCCTACACCTGGGAATTTATTTTATATTGTTATTACTGTTATTATATAGTACAACTGACACTTTATTTTATATTGACAATGTTTACTGACATGTACAACTGACACTTTAGTTACATTTAAAATATTTCTATTTAATGTTATGTCTTGAGAGTGCAATAAAGAAAACCGACATGGCGATTAAACAGATCCTGTATCAGCCATCCTACGGTGAAACATGGCAATCATGTGTGCTTTCCGTCGGCCAATCCTTTTCCTAAAGCTTTTGAACTGCCTTTGATGCTGAAGAAACTTTGCGATTATAGCATTCGACGTGTGGCGGCTCCGGATTTTTGTCGGACGCCTAATAGGCTCAGGCTCTGGTCGCATTAACGAAGTTACAAAGCTGTATAACATGAGCACAAACAGCACAACTTCAGTCGACTCCATCTCCATCATGTCTGAGGTCGGAAGGTAAACAACAGACAGTATACGCGGGAAGTTTTTCTTCTTCTCTTGTTTTGTAGCGGATTGCAAACAACTTTAAGGTGCTTACCGCCACCTACTGTACTTGTAATCTTCCCTCAGGGAAAAGTACTCCGGTGTGAACGCGATCTGTACTAAGTGCCCTGGGGTTAAAAGCGCCAGGGCTCTTAGTGCCGGAACTAAGTACAGGAAAGTACTTGGTGTGAACGCGGCTATTGCCATGGACAATAGCTCCAAGAATGAAGTTAATATGGCCGACCAGGATGAGAGTTAATCCCTTCTTCATCAGCCCCCTTGGCCCTTTCTCCATATCTGGATGACAGAAATATAAGCAATACAATACCTCTAATTATTATGAGATATAGATTCATATTAGCATGCAGCTTGAAAACAATATCTGAGGTGGAGTTTGAGTTCACAGAGTTCATTCTCTGTATAGACATGTATACAAACTATGGTATTGATGGACTGATAATGATTTTAAATGTTTGATATCTTAAAAAGTCTAATGATAATATATTTCAAACACCATTCATTCTTTAATAAAACCCTGAACAAAAATATACATGTTGCCTTTGATATAAAAAAGGACATGCTTCCTTATGTACATTTTGTATTTTTAATCATACATATATTTTTATATGTGCCTACATAAATGAAATGCACATTTGTACACGCAGTGCATTTTTATCAACATCATCAAAAGGACTTCATAAAACTGAACTATTAGACCAAAAAGCAACATGATTTGCCTGTGAAACGGCTTTATGCTCTCAAACATTAAACATCACAGACTTAACACTTGCATCAACTCAAGACCTTATCTTGCACAGTTGGTCGTTTTGCCTGAAACAAGTAGGCTACACCTGCTCGAGATGGACATGCATTTGCATAGAAAGGCTCACACTGACTGTGAGCTACTGTGAGTCAGAGATGTGAAGAAGCAGTGAGGGCATGGGCCTACGTGATATTTTAAAAACGTTTTAATTATTATCCTCTTTCTTTTTGACTGATGACAGCTCATTTCCTCGAAGTATAAACCAGAGCAATTATTATTATACGCGCACCAACACGTTACATGTGCAGTTAGAACATCGAAACCATCCTCCTCCCTGCAGGCCTGCGGTCAGTGTACCGTGGAGGGAAAATACAGCGACGGACAGACAGGCTTAATGACGTTAAAAGCGAGATTTCTAAGTAGGAATCATGATAGAAACACTCACCAAAAGTGCACATCTCTCCGTTTTGTCAGGCACTTCCCTTTGAAAAATATAATGACCGTTATTTTCAAGCACAACAATTGCTCGACAACACAGAAGCAGAAAGTCAACGGTGCCTCTGTCCACTTCCTGTATGACGTCAAGACTCACCTGTGAATTACCTGCGGCGGGCTGGACGCTGAGGGGCGCAACAGACATATCATTTACCTCGAGCATCTTAATTCTGGCATTTCACAAACAATGGAGGAGCAACTATTCAGATATTCACCTTAAGTTAAAGTTGTAAAGGCACACTTTAGAAATAAGAGAGTTAAATTTGCTTAACAAGGAGATTTTCCCCCAACAACAAATATTTGTATATTCAAATTTCAATTCAACTCATATGGTGTTATATGCTTTTTCGGAAAAAAGTGGATGCAAAACCGTAATTTGTAAATAAATTGAAAAAAAAGCAGATTGGAGAACAATTTTAGCCCAAATACAAAAACAGAAACATTTGAGTGGAGATCAATGGATTGATATGATCCAATTGATGAAGTGACTACTTAAAAATATATCTCAGCAACAAAAGTAAGCTCTGACTGAAAGCTATTACAGAAACTGAAGGTGTCAGACAAATGGATTGAAAACTACAATATTTGCCTTTGAGATGTAGTGGAGTAGAATTATAATTTAGCAAAAAGTAAAATACTTAAATAGCTCAAATTTGTAATTAAGTAAGGAATAATTACATCCCACCATTATAAATCATCGCAAGCAATCTTATTAGATGAGAAATCATAACACTGATAACAGCAACATGATAATGAAATAATTAAATCTGTCTTTTGGATCTAAAAACATCAACGTTGAGCATTTCACACATTTATTTGAAAGAACAGATATTGTCAGGATACACATCTCAGAAAAGACACAAACACATTTACTGACGCTTATGTCATATACAAAATAGAAGGATATACAAATATGCTCACATCCTTGAGTGACAGGCTAAAGCTGCCCACCCTGTACGATTATTTAATAACCAGTTTCAACACCACCATTAATTTGGGTGGGAAAGACAGCGAGAGAGAGAGAGGTGGAGGAAGAGATTTATAAAGCTGGTCTGGTTGGTTTTTATCACTTCTCTGTAAAAGAAGCGATGCATTTACATTCTACTGGCTGACTTTAAAACATATCTTTGGAATATACAATCTTAGAGGTTCACAGATACACATTCAAATAGAGGAACAACTAAAGTAAACAATGCACGTTTTTTTAGTAAAAATGCAGATTGGAGAACAATTTTTGCCCAAATAATTTTTTTTTAAACAGAAAGATTTGAGTGGAGATCAATGGATTAATACGATCTAATTGGTGAAGTGACTACTTAAACAATACAGCTCAGCAACAGAAGTAAGCTCTGATTGAAAGCTAATACAGAAGCATTCAATTCAACTGGTAAAATGTATTCTCAATTGTAAGTTTTTGCATCTAATAGTATCGTTTCTGTTTTTTTTAATACATACTGAGAAAGTAATTTTTGATGTGCATTCTTACTGCTGTTTAAGGTCCTGAATTGTATGGGCTTTGAGACACTAAAGTACCTGTAGACCACAAAGAGTTCTGAGCCAAAATGTCACAAAAGGCCACTCCCTGATCCCAATACAAGTCTCAACATGACATGTAAGATGTAACCTTTTGTATTCAAGTGTTGGTGCCTCTGCACTCTGTGGAGGAAAATCAACCCTCTAAGTCCCAGTTTAACCGAATGGTGATCAAATGAAATCAATCAAGCAATAGAAGTGTATATTGGCTCAGACTCTCATCAATGTGGTCTCTGTGTTAATCACAGTAAACAAAGACATGCTATACAGTGTCTGTAACATCAATAAATCTCACATAGATGTATCAGGAAAAGGCTAGGTCCTCTTTTTTACAGCATATGGCAGCCGAGTTCAGTACACAAGTCTCACATGAATGAATGTTACAGGCAGAGGAGCATGTGTGAACAAGCAACAAATGGTAAAATGGCAAACAGTAGAGCAAAAATATAAAAACAAACACACAAACGGAAAATTCAGTAACACTGAGTTCACAGTAGCTCAAAGTAACCATCATCCAGAGACCTGGCATCATGATGCCCACCCAAAATGTAATATCCAGCTGTGCACATACAATATGTTCTGTATCAAAGGCTTTTCAAATATGTATCATGGGTATAGGTCAATTATCAAGTTATCTGAAAAAGTTGCATCTCTGCACATCCAGTTTTCAAACTCTTATATATATTTAACCTGATAGGTGACATGTTGGTAAAAAAAACACAACACAAAAATCAAAGAGCCGGGAATGTTCAAAAATCATAAGGCAAAACAAAATGAGAGGGGGATTCACATGAAATGAGGGGGAAGAACGGCTTGGCTTGTTAGGGGTGCTATAGGTTTGAGATCATTAAAGTTTATAAGTACAACAGTAGTGAAAGGTGGAGTGACTCTAGTGAATATTTGAATTAGACTTGATGGCGTTTTAGCCCGTCTCATCCTAACACAGGCAATTCGTTATGTAAACACCTCACAATAAAATACATCTGCGGCTTGGAGAAAGTGGTTTTAACTTGAAGTAATCTAGTCAGTACTGGTGTGATGAAGTGTCTTTTGCAGCATTAATGAGGTTAACATTTAACAGCCAATGTAAAAGCTAACACATTCAGAATAAATCCTCTCATATGGATTTAAATGGTTCTTAACTTTTACAGCTAAAATGTGATATCAGTCCAGGGAGCTTCTTTGGAGTAAACTGGACTCTGAAATTAGCTTGCCAGTATGTTAAAGGTTTTCTGTGCTTTGGGGAGGTTTGATTCCCTGATGCAGAGGAAGAGAACCCACCCTTTTGGTCACATTTTCACCTAAGGCTTAGAAGAACAAAATACAAAAACCCCACTAAATATAATCACCATGTTGAGTAACCAAACAGAAGATGTAACAGGGTTAAGAGAGTGTACTAATGAGGGGACAGGTATTTCGTGGAGGAAATGGTTGCTATTGAAGAGCTTGGCTGAATGATTCTTCTAGTAGGGAGGCTATTTTGTTTTGGTCCACCTGTAAAGAGAACACAAACATGTTCAACACTCCAGGATATTACAAATAATACATACACCAATATGTTAGAAAATAGAGATATGGTAATCATAACAGCAAAGACAGTTAAAAATATGCAAGTTGGTCGAACAAATGAGGCATAAAATAAAAATATCTGAGAAAACCGTTAAGAGGAGTGAGTCATTAAGACAAAAAACCTACATATCCTCTCTCAGACAGAGTGATGAAGTGACTATATAACATATACGTGGGTAGGTGAGAGTGCACAGGAGTACGTATGTAGCAGTAAATGTACATTAAGCTCTTAGAGGAGAAGGTGTTTGTGTTAGAGGGCACCGCACGTAGGAGTCACGGGTCACATCGCCTTATAAAATCTGCAGAATTTTCACACAGTTTGATACAGAAATAGCACGCTCACCCACACACGCTTGCCTGCAGCTCTTCAACAGCAAACACACAGAGACTCACACACATTGATTGCAAATCTCTCTCGCACAAAAGACCCACCTCACTGATTAAGCCCAGCTGCACCAACTCTTCAGCCATCTCCTGAACATTTTCATCTGAAACACACAGCAGCACAGTTAACAGTAGTCCATGGGCATGTAACATCCCTTTTTCATCCTCATCTCTACCTGTCACACAATGTATCTCTTTGAATTATGAATATAATAACACACACTCCTAGGGCTGTGCAATTAATCGTATTTTAATCGCAATTACGATTTTGGCCTGCCACAATTACGAAAACAACATAATCGAAAAAAACTATTATTTAGCTTTGCTTGGTTGTGACAGTGTACTACAACATATTTGATCTAATTAATTTTGGTCTCATTTATTTGTATTTATCATATTTATATATGTTTAGTAGCTTGTGGAAGTGCGCTCCAAAATATTTGTTGATCTTCTTTATTGGTATTTATTATTTATTTAAATGTATCATTTATTTTTGTATTGGTTTTTCAGTTGAATTATACGTTCAGGGAAATCAACAGTTAAAAAGATACTGTTCAAATTATTATTTGTTTTAAAAAATTTCAAAGTCAATGAATAATCGTATTTAATAATCGTGATATCAATTATTGACCCAAATAATCGTGATTATGATTTGTGCCATAATCGCACAGCCCTACACACTCCTACTCAAAAAGGCAGACTAAGGGTAAATACCACATTCAGAAGATATGGTCAAGATACTGCTTTGAAATCCACATCCCACCCTACAACATTAAACACCATCAAACAGCAGCCTCTGCCGCAGCTCTTTCTGAAGCCACGGTGTTGTTTGATGGTACCATTTACATGTTTCTGTGTATATCTGGCAAAGCAGAACTTAAGGGATATCCAATAAAGATAAAAGGAGAGTCTAGAATGGGACTCATTTGGCAGGAAAATGAAAGAGCCGACATGTTTCAACCAGCATCGTCTTCATTAGTGTAAGATCTGTTAAAACATGTTTTAATATTTCTCTTAAGCTTTGCTAATAAAGACTTAACTGCATGGACTGGCATACACTCCTTCTCCTTTCCTACATTTTGGAGTTTATATAGCTCATAGATATTAAAGGTATAATATCTTCAAACATGTCAGAAGTTTCCAAATAAGCGCCGTATTAATCCCATTTAACTGTAGCTCATCAAATGTGTATTATGACAGGAATTTTAAATACATTATGCACTGATAGTGTTGTTCGCCTCAGCGTCCATATGAACTAACTACCCTTTGTTAAACTATCATTCATGTTGACGTAAACTATGTTTAAATAAATGCACAAAATATGAAAGCATATGCTGTTTTCTAAAACATTGGGAAAATACATTCAGAAAAAACCTGAGCTGATATTCCTGACATTAAAATGTGACGTTTACTTTCTTCTGAAACTTAACTTGTATGACCTTCTATTCATTCCCTGACCTGTTTGGGGTATTTTAATTGTATTTTAGTTACCTCCCTTTCCTGTGCCCAGTGATCAGAGGAGTTGTCATGGTCTACTGATTTTTAATAACCTCGCTGTCAATTTACAACTTTATCAGGAATGTGGCAGGGACAAGACAAACAAGTGGAGAAGATAGACCACCCAACACTAAGAAAAGAAAACACCCACCCACATATAAATGATAAAGGGCTATGTATATTGCTATTATAGCCGAGTGAGAGGATTCCTTGCTTTTTGCCATTTTGTAGTCTGCTTTAAAATCATCGTTACTGTTTGGTTTTGAGGAAATAAAGCTTCAGTTGTAAATATGGTTCAATTCAAGTGTATGAGAGTGAAGCAAAAGGCCTATCGGGTGAAATCTAAGTGGCTCAGTTAGCTAGTGACCCTGCAGAGTGTTACTTTGGACTTTGACGTGTCGATAAGTAATGCTTTAGAATAACCCGATATCAGCAGGACAGACTGTTTACTAAGACAACAGGGTGTGCCTATAATAGAAGTAACACATAATAGACCAATACCACTGTGTGCCAGTGGTATTAATGTGTGAGCGTGCAAAAAAATACACATGAAGTGAGAAAGAGTGTGAGTGAGAAAGTTGAGGAGATACATTTGAGTGAATATGTGTGAGTGAGAGACAGGGAGATGAAAGCCTGGGAAGAGATGGGCTAATCTTGACAGAGGAGGTGACAGCTGTCAGCTGCAGCCCTCACAGGCCAGGCATTCCCCGCACGCCTGCAACATTATACATGCCTGCCATACCTGAGTGTGTGTGTGTGCACACTGGATCATACTGCCAACATTAGTTTGACCATTGCAACAGTTGTGTGTTTTTCTGGGTTTCTAGTCAGCTTTATGACAGTTAAACAATTTAGGAAAGCCTGAATTTCAAATTAATTAATTTAGATAACTCGGTAAAACCTTCAAAATGTGTTGCCAAGGAAAGTTATAGTTAAAGTTTTAAGAAACAACTTATCAACCCCGCACTGTCCAAAGTACAACCAGGAAACCATTTTCTTCAGAGCGTATCAACTGCCACCAACAGACCACATAAGGGGTTTTGTTTTCCAAACTTATTCTGGTTGTTTCACCATCCACAGTTTACATAAGGAGGGATAGTCATTGTAAAGACCTTACATTAACACTCTTTTGTAGCTGGGAAAAGCTGCTGATAGCTACAGGGAAGAAAAAAAAGGCGCAATCCTTTGAGCCGTAAAGCGAGCCTTTCTGTTCCCTAGAGATCATACCAGGTGGCATGCAGAGTTACAGAGTGGAAGTGAGACGTTTTAGGAACCAACCCCAACTCTGATGGTGTCATTTTTCTGTAGTCATTACATTGTGCAATCAATATTTGGTCAACAATGGTAGGTTCATGAAAAAAAACATTCCAGAATGTAATTATAATAAATAAGACATTTGTCCAAAATAGAGGTGCAAGGTTTTCATGACACATAAGCGACAGTTAGTCTCCCTGCCTAAAATAGTCGTGCATATTGTGACGCCATCCGCGTTTCAGGCTCTCTCTGGAATCTCACTCTCACTTTCCAACATGCCTCAGTGCACACATATTGAGAGGAAGTGTGTATTAAAACTGTGTGTGGTCAAATCTGAGAGTGAAGTAGACTTGAAGTCATTCATACGGACATAACTCCATCATTTATCATCCCCTAGAGTCAAATATAATTATATCATTAACTCCAAACCCAAGCTGTAAACATAAACTGTTCAGATTAAAAACAATGACCACACTTTATAAAAACCTTCCTACTTTGAAGGCGTTTGTCCAAAAAATACACGCACATCAACAAGAATACTTCAGAGGGAAGGATTCTTGTTGATGTGTGTGTAGTCAACTCCATAAGGAAAATAATGTAGCCATTCTTGTATTGCTATTTTACACACATTCAGAAGGGCTTTTATACACACACCCACCCACCCCCACCCCTCTAATCCTCTTTGCTAGCCCTAATCTCCCTCATGCACGACACGCCTTCCAACAATATCAAATGATCGTCTAATTGCAGGAGCCATTGTAATATTAACTGGTTGGAAATGTCAAAGGTCGTTTCAAAAGCTTGTTGATTAAAAATATTCTTCCCTTAAAGGTGGGGTAGGTAATTCACTTCAGAAACACTTTGTGTTATATTCCATGGAATGCTCTTAACATCCCGATAGCAATGAATAAATTAAATGCTTTGACAATAAATACATTTAAAAAATATCATCTGTGGAAGCCGTAGTACTGTAAAAAGCACGACCAATCATCTGAGCCGGCCCGGCTAAAATAACTGGATGGCCTACCTGCCTGTCAGCCTTCCATCTGGGCACAAACTTATCTCGTGCCCTCATTGGTCACGTGCGTGTTCGTGTGTGTTGGAGGAGGGGCTCTGGAAGGAAGTCTGAAGGAAGGGGCAGATTTTTTCCGGTTGTGTACTTTCAAATTCTAGCGCACTTGAGCTGGTTTCTCCATTCTTACCTACCATACCTTTCCCAATTGAGCACCTCAATTAATCCTCACAGTGTAGTTCTGATGAAATACAACTTGACTGTGGACATTTTGATGTGGGTGCGCTATAAATAAATGAGTGACTGTATATTGAAACCAACAGAGTGATTAAGAGTCAGTGTGTTATAGGATAGGTGGACTTACGAGATAACATGTCACAGCTTAGATGTCTATTCAGTTTATCATCCAGTTTCAGCAGCAATGTTAGCTAAAAAAGAGAGAAAGACGACATTATTATTATTATTCATTTCAGGGTTCATACACTTTTTCACCAATGATTTTCAATGACTTTTCCATGACCTTTACCTAATTTTCCATGACCAAAAAAATTACTCTTTCTCAGCGGTACCACTGAAAATGGTTTATTTTAACATGGAACAAGAAAATAAGGTCTGCATATGAAACATGTTGTGCCTATCTAAAACAAATCAAATAGGCTTACTAGCTTCTACACGCTAAAGCAACTAAAATCTCTCACCAGCTAAACACCTCGTCAGTTAAATGCCATTTTACGTTTCATTACTATACGATACAGTATTTATTATCATTATAGTATTACTATTTTGGTGATTAGATAAAATATAAATTATATTTGATGCAACTTTAGTTACATTTCCATTAAAATATTGTTTTCCATAACTTTTCCAGGGCCTGGAATTATCATTTGGAATTTCCATGAATTCCATGAAGAACCCTGTAATTTACTTCTGTATGGTAGAAAAAAAGGATCTGGAATTATATCAAGTTGTTACTCAATGGGGGAAACACATTTTTTAAACGTTTAATTAGTGAAACAATAAAAGATTAACTTATAAATTCTACTGCAGAGACTTACATGATACCTTGCTCCCTCCTCGACAGATTCAACGTTACACTGCATCTGAATGACCTGCAGAAGAAGTTAGGGAGTTTAAATAGGAGCAGTTGGCAACTAATTGATTTCACAACAGTTGTTTACTCCAGAAGAAATATAGTATTCCTATGTATTGATCCTACTGAAGCCCTGAGGTGAAAGTGAACACAAATTCTGGTTAACCATTTTCCAAGTCTCATCTAATTGATTCACTTTTGTGTTGTTAACTTAAAAACTGGTGAAAAAAAGGTCTTGCTAGAACAATCTTACAAAGGTCCCTTTTTTCTGTTATAAGATGAACAATAAAGATTTACCGAGATATTGATATAGATAGAGAGGAATGTCTTTTTCACATTTGTATTCCCGCTCATCATTAATGCAGTAGAGAAATCAATTAGAAATGAATCACCAGAAAAAAATATCTCCCTTGCATTTGAGTTTTTATATAACCGAGTTACTCAACAAGAAATGAGGATTGTCCCTTGTGGAGTGTCACCATTGCGAGTGTTTTTTTAACTTTTGTAATATGCAATATAATCTCCTGTACGTACCCGCCGTGTCTCCAATTCTGTCGGTTCAGGGGTGGGGGATTTGACCAAGGGGACGACAACGGGAGATTTAACCGTCTCCTGTTGAGGCTGATGAGGAGAGGGCACCCCGAACGCAGTCATCGGATAAATACCGTTTCTGATCCAGAGAGAAAGGGAGGAAGAAACAAAGGCAGGTGGAGGTGGAGAAAACATCAGAGAAAGGGAGAATGAGAGAGAGAGAAAGAGGAGACGGAAACGATAATGGAAATTAAGAAATGTTTTAATATACGGACTTTGTTTTCCTCTCCTTATAGTCAACATTTTTAAAGTGAAAAATGTGTTCTACCAAACTAACAAATTAGAAAAAATAAGGATTTCCTCTTGATTCTTTAAAAGCTTGGTCTACCTGTGGCCATGATTACATATCAACGAAGGATAAATATTATAACACTAGTACAAATACAAATATGTGAGCAGGAAAAACATGAAGCCGAGATGGAGACTTGCAGAACTGAATGAAGAGTGGCCAAAGATCATGAGGAAAAAGTATTTTATATTTAAATAAACCCCAAAAAGTTTGAAAAGTGCATGACAAATGTTTAAGTAGGGTGCTGGATTCAGATAGAGAGGCGAAGTCCCTCCCTTTCCGGGGGACCTCCATGGGACCTTATTTCGGAAAAATTATGTATTGAAGTCAATGGAGAGAGAAAGATTATCTTTCAATCCCGTTTGAATTAAGCCACGAATTACACATATGATGTTTGTCAATTTAAAAGATAATTTTGCAAGTCAAAAAAATAAAAATGTGTCGTAAAACTGTGAAGTAACACTTTTTTTTGTGTGAAACCGCTCAATGAACTCCATCTCCCGTCTCGCACCACACACCAAGACGGCCGTCACGTTGGCACATTTCACTCCTTTCTTTCAGAATGAGGCGGAAAGTATTAAAAGAGGTGAAAATCACTCCAAGTCTGGGCATGTTGAGAGCTGTACATACACACAGGGGGAGTTAGTCGGTTCCTAAGAGCCAGCATGCGGGACCGGGACTCTGGGATTTGTAGTCTTTCTAGTTGCCTATTTTTCATAGTCTTATATTTCAACAGTTTTACGACAAACTGTGACCTTTTTTACATGGAAATTATTTTTTAAGATTGACAAACATCATATGTGTAATTCATGGCACAATTCAAACGGGATCGAGAGATACGTGTTCTCTCCCCATTGACTTCAATACATAATTTTTCAGAAATAAGGTCCCTTGGGTCGGAAGTAGATGGGCGGGACATCATTAAAAGATGATGGCAGACCATAGACTGTATATATAAAGTGGCAGACGCACACTAGTCAGATGGTCCTATACTGCCCCCCTGTGGCCAGATGGGGTTTTTCTTTGGAGCCTAAATACATTGAGAGTAACGCTTGTTCACGCTGTTGCTGCTCTCCGCCTGTGCCTCTTACCTCACATCCTCCAGGAATTTATCAAGCTCCAAAGCAGGAAAATGGGAAAGCCTACAGAAAACACAAACAACAGTCAAAGGTCTTTACACCTCAAATGTATATAGGTTATATTCACAATTTCAGGATTTACTATGTATAAGTATAGAAAAACCCAGTAGTAACAATGACTGTTAATATAATCACTTACATTTGTCTTTGTTTTATCCTATTCAATTAAAAGACATGTTCCTGTACCAAAGATATTCAGAATGAAAAAACGACATGAATGCGGTTGACACTCGATAGTGGAAACTCACTTGAGCTGAATGCCTTCTTTCTTCTCGGCGATGACCAGGTTAGGATCCAGGTTCTTGGTAATCTCCTCCAGGGCATTTTCAGGAATCATGTCTGGACAATAATAAACATTTAAGAATGAATGATGTGATGCTGGTTGTTAAAACACATCCCTTTAAAACTAAACTTCTTTCATCTTTCATAGGTAGTATTTGATCTGATGATATGTGAAAGGTAGCAAGTCTTGTGAAGGGATAACCCACTTAGACTTAGAGTTACATTTGTGTTTGTGATTTTGTACGTGTTGGATTGCATAGTTTCCAACTGTGATTTAGTTTGAATAATGTGTTTTATTGATGTTCTAGGTCAAGCTGTATATGTAATGACAGTATTCACCAGTGCAAGGTAAATATACAACACCAGTAAAAAAACTATATTTAAATCTGCATCATTAATTGCTCCGTCCACTTGGATGCACAGATTCCTCTGACTAACAATGTACTCTTAGGGCTGTGCAATTAATCGTATTTTAATCTCGATTACGATTTTGGCTTGCAGCTATTACGAAAACAACGTAATCGAAATAAAACGATTATTATTTTTATTTAAAAAAAAAAAATGTAATTGTTTTTTTTTTTAATTGTTTTTTCAGTTGAATTATACTTAAAGTTCAGGGTAATCAACTGTTAAAAACATACTGTTCAATTGTTTTTTTCAATAAATGGATGTTTTCAGTTTTTAATAATCGTGATATCAATTATTGACCAAAATAATCGTGATTATGATTTTTGCCGTAATCGCACAGCCCTATGTACTCTGACACTTTATTCCTTTATTATTGCAAGTACATTTTTTACTCTTTTTATAAATTATGTTTTGTTGGCTTCACCAACCCTGAATCATTTCTGGCTCCTAAGCCTGCAGGATGTTCCACTTTCTTCCCCAGTTAGTCACTTTTTCCAAACTCCCGCTTGTTGTCGTAGGGAAACTATGACTACTACTTTGACATTACACATAACCCTCCTGTCCATTGCAAATACAATGGATGGTTTTTTCTTATTAACCATAGCATGCTAATAAAAGCTAATCAGAATGACTCAATCTGTTATTCTGTGTATTCTGTGCAACCCGGTATCACGGCAAGACGTGAACATGTGACGATCTACCATGCTGGGAGACGTGAAGATATCACGGTTTCGTCCCTTCAAACGTGACAGTTACACGGTATTGTTAACATGGCCCAACCAGTGGAGAAATACCCGGAAGTGCCTAGCAAATGGTCTACCGCGCCTATTGGTCGGTTTTTATTGTCAAAATTAGATGTTTTTAATTTATTTTTTAATCGTCACACTCGATTTTGCTGATTTTCTTGTTGCCCTAGCTGGTCGACACCTCTTTGAGCAGAAACAAAGGCTACATTAATGTATTAAATCGATGTTAATCCATGTGTGTGGATCATAGACTGGTGAGGATGTGGAATTAACGGACGTGACGTTGTGCGATTGCGTTGCCAGGCAACGCAATTTACAAACTCTTCAACTACAACCCTAATTATATTTTAAAACATTTTAGAAGGCCTCACGAAATACTTTAATGTAAATTAAAATGTAAATGTGAAGGAATGTGTGTAATGTGGTGATTGACATTATTCACCCACGGATCTATGGGTTGGGGGTATTATTCCGCAGCACGGACATCTTAGTTAACCGGACTCCTGTTGATGTGAAATCCGAAAACATTTAAAAAAAATAAAATAATACTTTATTCCGAGTTTGCTTGCTTTTCTCTTTGGAGGTCATCACATAACGGCATTGTAATACACGGTTTGGCTGCATTAAATATGACACATCTGCCGTAGTTCTGTATTTATAGAGCCCTGATGAGAAGACTTCTGGACAAACAGGAAGCACTGCCGCCAAAACTGAAAACGTGACGTGGATCATAAATATATCAGCAATTAAACAACATCTTACATTTCTTTTCACACAATACGTCTCCTTGCAGTATCAATACTAATTCGGCTGACTTTTATATTTGATCCAATTGGTAGATAGGCTGTATTTACACCATAACGGTGCACAGCTGATAGAAAGGCACATCTAGTGGTTAAAGCACGTTATTGAATTTGATTATTTGATTATTTTTCACAAAAATGAAACCATCAATAGCAGAAACAGAATTAACTGTCATTAGTAAACCACCCAAAAAAAAAGATCATAAGTGGTTTTGTTTTATATATATTTTAAGGATAATAATAGCAATGTAACACTGTCTATGACACTTACTGTATAACACTGATTTGAAAAACATACAGAAAAAACTAATTCACTGCCCTTAATAAAGTATGTAATACATTTCAGGTGTGCTGTTTTGTTTAGATCATTGACATCTGGAGCTCTTTTAATGTCCTTTTTGATTATTGTTACACCAGGTCTTGTCAAAACCTTTATTCCATATTCAATATCCATTACTAAACAAAACAGCAATTCTACTCCACTACAATTCAGAGGTTAACCTGGTATTTTTACTCCACTACATTTATTTTAGTTACTTTGCAGATTCTGATTAATGATGTGAAATATAAACAACCCTTAAATCAGGCTTTAGTTACACCTGAGTAAAATTCAGGGAAAGGTGATTGTCAAGTGCCAACAATCAGGAGAGATATTTGATAGTTGCTGCTTGAGAAGACTAAACATTTATCTGCAGATCCCTATAAAGTATATTCATTACTCGTTATTCTCTACTAATAGTTAATTAAAGACTGTATATAATGGCTATTTTGCATATCCCTTTCAAGATTTCAAGATTTTCTAAGGATCATTGACATATCATACACAACTAATTCAATAACGTGCTTTAACCACTAGGCGGTGCACACAGCCATAATAACTTTGTATTATTAGTGTAGGACACTTGTGTATGTATAACATCTGAAGATGTGTAGTTTTATTCATGTTTTCACATAATTGTACAGGATATTGCTATATTATTTCACATGTTTTACTTATAATATCTGATTTGTAAAACATCACAGACAGAAAGGTATATCCGTCATTTAACAGTAAGCTATTGAAATTCTGAATCCATAGATGTGTCTCCCATCACCCAAATCCCCTGACTATTCTCTCAACTCAGTATTTACATTCTTATATTCAAAGAAAATCAGTAATATCTTTAAAAACGACAAGTCCTTTTATATCAGCTGTGCACCGTTATGGTGTATAACGTATTTTTTTTCGGATTTCACATCAACAGTAAGTCCGTTTAACTAAAATGTCCGTGCGGAACAATACCCCCAACCCATAGATCCGTGGGTGAATAATGTCAATCACCACATTACACACATTCCTTCACATTTACATTTTAATTTACATTAAAGTATTTCGTGAGGCCTTCTAAAATGTTTTAAAATATAATTAGGGTTGTAGTTGAAGAGTTTGTAAATTGGGTTGCCTGGCAACGCAATCGCACAACGTCACGTCCGTTAATTCCACATCCTCACCTCCACACACATGGATTAACATGGATTTAATACATTAATGTAGCCTTTGTTTCTGCTCAAAGAGGTGTCGACCAGCTAGGGCAACAAGAAAATCGGCGAAATCAAGTGTGATGATTAAAAAATAAATTAAAAACATCTCATTTTGACAATAAAAACCGACCAATAGGCGCGGTAGACCATTTGCTAGGCACTTCCGGGTATTTCTCCACTGGTTGGGCCATGTTAACAATACCGTGTAACTGTCACGTTTGAAGGGACGAAACCGTGATATCTTCACGTCTCCCAGCGTGGTAGATCGTCACATGTTCACGTCTTGCCGTGATGCCGGGTTGATTCTGTGTGTATGTTAAACACTCACGGTGGTGGCTGACTATGCAATGAGCAGCCAGCAGCTTTAGCAACGGTACTTCGAACAGAGCTTGGTTAAACAGCAGCTCTCGGGCTGTAGGTCTCATACTCGGATCAGACTCGAGGCACTTCTGGATTAGCTCCTACAAAAACAAACATAAAAGGTCACACACTTCTAGACGAAAGTCATGTATACACAAATGGGACTTTCAAATAAACATTGAGACCCAATAACACATACACACACACAGATGAATCTGGTATGATCTTTCAGGATACTCATGAACATAAACACACACTCCACTCTTTCTCTCACCCTCTGCAGTGGGTCCTCCAGAAACTGTATGGCATTGTTGATGGCTTCCGGAGAAACTAAAGAGGACTCTCCATTCCCCTGGATTTCCAAGAGCGCCATCTGAAACACACTGACACACACATTAGCATATTGTTTTAAGAAAGGGCTATCATGTATCATAGGTCCCATCTCACCTCTAAGGCACACATGCCAAACGAGTAGATGTCCACCGCCGTGGTGATATCGTCAGCTACAATGAGAGAAGGAAAAGAAAGAAGAAATATGTACGGATATTCACTTCTTATATTATATATTGTTTTTTTCGTCTTAGAATTAGATTTTTTCCTGATATAAATCAATATTTGATTATTTTATTGGAACAAAGCCTTTGAGCGTATTGTGTTCAGTCAACATTCAGACATATCTGTTGTATTCATGATACTAAGAAATTGTTCAATACCATCTATTATGCTGTGTTGATTTAAGCTGCCATTTTGTCTGAAGCTAAACACTTTCAATGGATGTATTCAAGAGTCCTTTAATGCAGTTATATCCTTTAATGATATCAAATGATTCGTATCATCCAGAAACATGTGGATTTCAGTTTAAATAGAAATAAATGTAAAGTGTAATTTCAGTCATGTCTACCTCCATATTCTGGGGCATAGAAGTGCAAGTTCTTCTGTTCCTCATGACACGTCTTCACGTGGTTGTTGATGGTGTCTGGAGCAACTGCAGATGTGACAGGAGGGGAGCATATGAAGGAAATAAAGAAGTAGGATGGAGAACAGAGAGATAAGTGGACATGGAGTCATTGTACACACAATAATAGTTTATTCCACACACCTTTTGTCGACATCTACCTATTTATTTAAGCTCGAAAGAACATCAAGAAGGTATCCTTATTGAAAATAGTGTCTACTTGAGATGTAAAACAAGGCTTGCAACAAAATGGCTCACAATGAAAACTACAATGTCTTAGAGTATCATAATTGTTTTTGGTACATGAGAAAAGGGTTGTATTCATTACTTTTGACACATAATACTGGATCCCAAGATGTTTTGGCGTATTAAAGCTAATGCACCGGCACCTAAATGGTTTGGATAGTTGAAGCTAATTGACTTGCAGGATACTTTGAAATGATTGTTAAGTTACAAAGCCTGATGAGACTCGCAAAACTAGCACTGTGTAATAACGGAACTTCCCTGAAATGTCCAGTCTTTAAATCCATAATTCAGTATCATCTGACTCCATCACTACCTAACCCTTAAGTGAAACTTGCGTAACTGTATACCTGATCCGATCTTGATGAGCCCGTTGTGTTGGATGAAGATGGTGTCACAGGTCAGGTTGCCATGGAGGATGGGAGGGTCACATGAGTGGAGGTAACTGCAGTCAAGAAAAAACAACATTCACAAATACAGACTACATACGACTTCATTATTCTTATACTTAGCATGTGTCCTGGATGTCTAAAATAAGGTGAAACCAACCTGAGAGCAGACAGGATCTGTGTGCACCATCTCTTCCAAGCCTGTAGGACCATACATCTTATCAGAGCGCTTACATGTTGGTTTCCAATATGGAGTAACAATGACTTACATCATGTCATTTGACTTTGCTTAAACTGGTACACAATGTATTTTAAAATGCTTTCTCTCTCTTGCCATCTGGCAGATTGGTCCTAGCTTTGGAAAGATGACCTTATCAATATTACTGATACAGGGTCTGTCACTTTTCACATAATATGCTGACTTTCATGCACCATTATTCTATTAGGGAAACATTACATACAGCCAATTCTTACCTTTTCATTCATGGCTTTATGATTCTTCTTTGTCTTTTTTAGAAACTGCTTCAAGCTTCCTGATGACATATATTCAGTAATGAAAATCACCTGAAAGAGAGGAAAGAAATGAGGGGGAAATGCTTCGGAAGATGTCATTCAAATTTAAATAAAAAAGATGCTCAAATACTTTTTTGAATCTTTAAAATTGAAGATTTTACAAATGAAGACAGAAGGATGATTCAATAACATTCATATGTTGACAATTGTTGGTTTGTCAGGTCTGAGAGTGAGACTCACCCTGGCCCGGTTCTCCTTGTTGTCGGCCCAGTACTTGTGAAACTTGACGATATTAGCATGTTCCAAATTGATCAGGTTATCAAATACTGCTTTCACTTTCTCCTGAAAACATAGGAAAAACAAAATATAGTAAAGTATAATAATATGTCATATTGCTATGAAAAAAAAACACACACTCTGCTTTGACTTGACGTTTGCCTGACCAATGGATAGATGGTAGTATATCTGGCAGAACTATTTATGTAAACAAAGTACACATTTCCACAGTTTTGACCTTCTGGTAGTTTTCCTAGCAAGCCAAGGGGTGACAACAGTGAACTCACAATAGCAGTGATAATACAAATAAAACATACGTGAATCGATTAGTCAATACAACAAATATTTTAAGAAAAATGCTAAATACTTCCTAGCTCATGCTTCTGCAACCCGATACAACACAGAGCCAGACATGATGTGACACTATTAACCTGCACATGGTTACGTTAACCTGGACAGTGTGTACCTTCTTATAACAGCAGGACAAGAGGCATTTTTTAAATACTTTTTACAAAAGGTAGGAATGTCTTCCTTTGATAAGTCAAAGACATTCCTACCACTCGTTACTTTTCTGAAAAATGTAGATGAGCCCATTTAATGCAACAGTATATGAAGGACTGTCCAAATGTATGATACTTAAAATATTATGTCAATGTTATAGTGCATTAAAATGACATGGTGGTTCTATAAGGCAGTGTAGCTATTACATTTGACTGAAATTGCTTAACACTGGTTTCTCCACATTACAGACCACACTGCGTCATTATAACAACAAGAACGTGTTTGTATACACTGTAGTGAATACGTTTTACCTCGTTATTCTTTATTCATTTTTTTGATCCTGTATATGTGAATGAAGTACTAAGGCTAAAACATCTGTAATCATTAATGATTTTTCACTTTTCCACCACACCGTAGCAATACTTGTACCCTTTTTCTTCCGTTACTGGACCAGTGGGCCTCACCTCCAGCAGCTTGAAGTTCTTCCTCTCTGAGATCATGACTTCGTTCCACACTACCTCTACGCCTTCCTCTGTGTCCATGGCCAGGTACGCAGCATCGATCCCTGGGACATTACGCTGGTTCACCTACAGGAAAAGTGAAGAATAGCTTAGGGGACAATATATTTTAATACTGAAACAAAAGACAATGAAACGGTTGAATGGCAAACAGTGTCTGCTATACTTTTCCGGTTTGAGCTGACATGATGATGAGAGGCTTGTACCAAACACACGGAATATTATAACTAAACACAAAGCTTGAAAATAACTCCCACCAGGTATAATTGAGTTTTGGAAATCTCCGTAACAATATTCTTCACTAAAGACCAATTTGTGAGGAGAAAACATCAATATATTATTAAATAGATAATGTTGAATATGTATAGATATTTGACTATAGTGCGAAATTAATATATATATTTAAAAATATAGCAATTTGAAAATGATGTTGGAGCAGGTTGTTCTTTTTATGTTGAAAAAGTGATATGATCTTCATTTAAAAATATTCCAGCATCCATTGATCTAATCAACTAAGCTTCAGGACTTTGGTAATTCCCTTAAAACGTGATGTGTCATCTTTTGAATCAATGACTGTGTCGGACAGTTCAAACTTTGTCCATCATTTCCACTTCAACCATCAGAGTGAAGCTTCCTGACTGCCCTTACCTCTTCTCTGCGTTTCTGCCAGCGGCCACACGGACTCTCCTCCAGGATTTCCGACTCATCTTCGCTCTCATCATCATCCTCAGTTGCAGTGGTGGTGTGGGGCTGTATGGGGGCCACGGGCGAAGCAACAGATGCTTCTACCTGTTGAATACTACTAGGCATGTGTCCTGTCGTGACATTTGGCTTGTTTCCCTCTGTGCCTGGAGCTCCTATCTCCTCGGCCTCCGACATCATGACACAACTTGAATGCTGGCAGCCTTTCCTTCCCTAAGCTCCCAGCGAATGATAGGAAGCCTCGTCCTTGCTTTCTCCTCTCTGTTTGAGCTCGTCACACATCCATGTTCTTCTCTGTCCTGGCTTAAACGAGGTAAAGCTCAAGGAGGGAGGGCTGTAAACAAATGACATGCTTAGATTTGAAATCATTGGGCTACACGTTATAATACTATTTTTTAGAGGTGGAAGAAGTACGTTTAATACAGAGTAAAATCCCAGGTCAAATGTACGTTAGAGGGTCTCGAGCATGTTTTCTCTTCAGAGATTGTGATGTGATGTTAAATGTTTGTTTTCCTTGTATTGTGTCTTAATATTTGTCCTCGTTTGATGTTGATGCAAATGGAGCAGCTGTGATGCAAGACAAAGGTCAGACTTGATCTGACAATACATTATTATCTCATCGTACCTTAAGTACTTGTACTAAAGTAGAGGATCTGATTACTTCTTCCAACGTTGAATATAGTATACCTTGAAATATATTTAATTGTTCATAGTTGAATGACTCAAAGAATTACTTTATTTAAGCTATGGAATCATTTAACCAGCTTTCCTTTGTTCATAAATGACAAAAATAAGCTCCTTATTTTAGACATTCTGCTTTAACCAGCTTCACAATGAATTCACAAGAGGAATGATCACTCACCCCAGACAAGATAAGATGAACGAGAGGACAGTCTCTGGTTTAACCAAACTATATATCGAATTTTAAAAAATGAGCGACCAACCACAGCTCTCCTTCTTTAAAATATTTTTGTAATTTCCCTCCAATCGAAATATAGAATTTTAACATTTGAATGTCAACTGCTTGCTATGCAGACATGTTATGAAAATATCACACATCAAAGGGTCAGGTGCAGAGGTCCCTGAAACAAAGAATGGATTATGGCTGTTGTAGTCTTTACCACCATTGCCATATTTGTAGTCAATTCAATCATAGTTACTTCAGTGTTCAATAGTTTTTTGATTAAAAATATAACTGAGCTATAGTGTGTCTGTGTGTGTCTTAACTGTCATCCATGTCAGCCAGGGGTGCACATAACTGGTACGCAGGTACGCATGCGCGGCAACAATCTGAAATGCTTACCGTAACTTGTGTCACAAAGCAGAGTCGGGTTGCATTCGAATAGTCCATTTAGCTTAGGAACCTTCCTAACGGAGTGAAATGACCCGGAAGTCCCTCAGTGGCAGCCATGATAAGTGGCGTTCGAATTCTCTAAATTAAAAGGAAAGGAGGTTTCAAACTTCCTTTATAACCTCCTTTAGCCTAGGAACCACTGGACCTCCCTAACCGAAAGGAGAGGAGAAAATGCTGCCCCACAATGCCTTGCGGCCGCAGCATTTGCCGTCACACAACAGTCGGCCGTTCACGGAAACAACCGATTATGAACGAGAAATGATATCATGAAAGTTACGGTGCTTATTAAGCATTTTAAAACGTATGTGGTAAGTTGCCAAAGTGCTTTGTTTTGAACGTTCATCAGTATTATAATCAAAAAGAGAAATATGAACGTTAGTTTTTACTGAAATGATCAAATAAAGTCAACATTTCACAGTCTTTACTGAGCTGTGTGGGGTTTGTTCAACTTTTAAAAGATGTTTGAATGGTGATATACACAGTGATAGATGTTAAGGACTAACGTTTATAATAAATACATTTGTATTGATTTTAAGATCTTTTCATACAATCATACGTATTGGGATCATTTGTATTAATGTGGACCGGAGGGAGAGGGTGACGAGCATAAGTTTCACTTTCCTTTTTTATTTCAATTCCAACTTTGGTCATGAAGAATATGTTTCTCTGTTGTCCACGTTCATAAAGCATAAAGCAACAGCATCAGAGCACGGTGCAGAGTCTCTAGATGAGTTTACAGTAGTCCCTCGTTCTTATTAAACATCCATGTTGTAGTCCGCTGTATAGAAAACTGTAGTTTCCATAGTTTCCCCACAGCAGCAGCAGGCGCACATTTATGACCTCCGCTGGCGCATCATAAACACGTCGGATAGGGAAAGTGCAGTCGGATTCTCTAAAGTACCGCAGTCTCTTCTCCTAAATCCTTTTGAATTCTCCTATCCACTATCCCTTAACCCCGTGACGTTTCACTCAGAGGTCAAGGAATAGACGATAGGGTTAGAACTTAGGAGCTGTTTTTTTGGAGTATTCGAACGCAACCCTGGTCTCTAAAACAGCTGATCACAACGTTCACACGCTCCGCGTTCACGAAGCTCTGCACCCCTCCCCCCCCCCCACTACTCAAGTACAATATCTGAGTACTTCTACTTTTAATCAAGTACAAGATCTGAGTGCTTCTACTTTTACTCAAGTACAAGATCTGAGTACTTCTACTTTTACTCAAGTACAATATCTATACTTATACCACCTCCGTTTATAGCCTATGAAAAAAACTATTACAAAACGAAGGCTAAAGCTAACGTTAGCAGATAGTGACAATGTATGCTAGTTAGCTAGCTCGACAACGATAATATTGCGACAGAAACACTTTTCAGTGCACATCACGGCAGCAGAGCCTTATTATACATCCATCAGCAGAGCCGACAGGCAGGGAGCACACAGATCGCGCTGCATTATAATATATATACACCATACGTGTCATGATGGCACATAACAGCTCCCGGCCGCCGATTACTCCGGGTCCCAGACCCCCCCCATACCCCAAAAATATTTTTATTGCAGATCTACATGAATCACACAAACGACCTATTTTGGATTCAAAACGGCGAATTTCGCCAAAAGGTGACAAGTTTGCATCCCTGACTTTAACTTTTGATACTTGAAGTATATTTAGCAAAGAAATGTGCTAATGAGTATTTGTTCTAAAGTAAAGGATCAGATTACTTCTTCCAACCTTGAATAAATAAAGTATGCCTTGAAATATATTTAATTGTTCATAGTTGAATGACTTCAAACATTACTTTATTTAAGCTATTGAAGCATTTAACCTGCAGGGTTCTTACACCTTTTCCAAAGTCAAATTCAAGCACTTTTCAAGCATTTTCAAGGTGCATTTTCAAGCTTTTCAAGCATCTTACAGCTGTTGTAAATTACATATTTATATACACATACTTATACTCAAATGATTATTTCCCTACCTCACATTAAATCAGATGTTCTTTATGCTATAAACAACCAAATGTGTGTTTCATAATAGCATTCTACATGAGGATGAAAGATTAAAAATGTTAGAAAAGAAAACTAAGTTTAATATTTCAAAATGAGTGACCCATCTGTACGTAGACCTGGCTGAGCCAATATAAAACAATCAGCCAAATAACTTTTCAATATATTATTGATTACTATTTTTGAGGTACTTTTAGGTTGGCAGTAAACACAAGTCAGAGGTAAATGGTGTACTTTGACTCCACTACATGTATTTAATACCTTTAGTTACTTTACAGATGTGGATGAATGATGTGAAATATAACCAAGTGTTAAATCAGACTTTAGTTCCACCTGGAGTAAATTCACAAGCTACTCTGTAGTATACAAAGTCATTCAAACTAGCTGCACCTTTACCAGCTTTGATAACACTTTCATGATCAATCATTATAAAACATATCATATACAATTATTAGGGATGCTCCGATCGCCAATTTTGGCAATAGTATGAAGCTGCAGCCTCGGAGGAGGGTGCACTCTCAGGACCGCATGCACTCTCAGGACCGCATGCACTCTCAGGACCCTAGTTGTTTTGCAACATCGCCACCTAGCGGATTGGATGACCGCAAAAGTACAACCAGCGAGTATTGAGTCTCATACACTGCGAGTCTCTTTAGACATTGTAATGCTTGTTATTAACCATCTAAAAATGCATGAAAATATGTTTTTCTTAATGAAATTACATTATTATTATTAACAACAAGTTGTTAATATGTTTTTGATTTTTAATAACAAATGTATTTTGTATGTCAGATGTAAAAAGATAGTCTTTTATATTTGTCTTTATCAAATTTGACATACAACATAAATATATATATATATATATATATATATACAGGGTTCCTGCAGGTTTCGCCAACTCAAATTTAAGACTTTTTAAGACCACTTCGAATAGAATTTAAGACCTATTTCACGGCAAGAAAGTATGAAGGAAAATTGCTATGAAAGAAGAAATACGTCCCATAATTACTTACAAATCAAATGTATTCATGTTCAACATAAGAACAATGACTGAACATAACAGCATAACAGTACAGAACTGTGTTAGCCAAAAAGTGTGTATGTGTCTCTGTGTATGCTTGTGTGTGTGTTAGGGCTGTGCAATTAATCGTATTTTAATCGCAATTACGATTTTGGCCTGCCACAATTACAAAAACAACATAATCGAAAAAAACTATTATTTAGCTTTGCTAGGTTGTGACAGTGCACTGCAACATATTTGATCTAATTAATTTTAGTCTAATTTATTTTTATTTATCATATTTATATATGTTTAGTAGCTTGTGGAAGTGCGCTCCAAAATATTTGTTGATCTTGTTTATTGGTATTTATTATTTTGATATTATTTATTTAAATATATCATTTATTTAATTAATTTTTGTATTGGTTTTTCAGTTGAATTATACGTTCAGGGTAATCAACAGTTAAAAAGATACTGTTCAAATTATTATTTGTTTTAAAGTTCAATAAATGGATGTTTTCAAAGTCAATGAATAATGTTATTTAATAATCGTGATATCAATTATTGACCAAAATAATCGTGATTATGATTTTTGCCACAATCGAGCAGTGTGTGTGTGTGTGTGTGTGTGTGTGTGTGTGTGTGTGTGTGTGTGTGTGTGTGTGTGTGTGTGTGTGAGAGAGAGTGAGTAACAAGAGCTATATTCAGAGCTCTGCTGCCTTGGCTACAATCTTTCATCGTTGCTGTTGTATGATTGGTGTTTAACTACGGTATTTAGCGTATACACTACAGCACCTCCGCTTTTAGGGTTGACGTAGACCCAAACGTCGCCCGGAGGTCCAACGGTGTTGTTGCGGGAGCTGCTGGACTAGCTAACGCTGCACTAGCTAACGCTACATTAGCCAAACAAACGCTAATTTCTTTTGCAAAGGGTGCAGCAGGCTTCAAACACGTTCCCCTCCACTGGTTTCA